TGTGTGTGTGTGTGTGTGTGTGTGTGTGTTTGTGTGCATGTGTGCATATTTGTGTGTTTGTGTGTGGGGTTTCATTTGTAGAAGACAACGTTGCAGAGTTGGTTGTGTGTGAGGGAGCGTGGGATAGACTGAGATAGACAGACAGACGTAGAAAAGACAACAGAGAAGGATGGACAATGACATTATGACATATCCAGAAAGTGAGGGGGAAATAAGAACACATCGAAACGACAACAACCAGACATCTGGAAATGAACGCTCTGGTGACTAAAGGAAAAACATCTACTTAAGGTTTTCTTTCTGAACTTCATTAACCAAGTACGCATTCTTATTATTATCATTGGTCTCTTCTATGACAACGACAATGACAGTGAATGACAAACTTTATTCATCTTGCAGGGAGAAATGTGTCTTGGTCGTTAACAATGGCAGTAGATGTTACAAAGGTTAGGTGCACTCACGCATACGCACAACAAGACGTGGGTGGTTAACGGGTGCTCAGGTGTGGTTTGCTCCCTCTTTTCTATCAGACTTCTATCCTCCTTATCTCCCCTTCTTACTTTTATGTTTGTTACTCTCTTGTAAAACCTCTAATCTTCTGGCGCTCATATGACCTTATGCAGTTCCCGTGAAACCTCTTTTAAAACTAAAACTAAACACAACAAGACATGCCATTAGTAAATACATGTCTCACGTGGTCTTTTGGGTTAGCTTGGGTGAGCCTGGACTTCTTGTGCAAGAGATGGATTTACTTCATTTCATGCACCGGAACTTCACGGTGACATTAAAGAATCAGATGGTTCCAGTAGGGAACAGGATAGAGGGTGCCCACGTCCCTCGTGACTCATTGGAGCAGAGGAAGATTGGACTAACGGTAACATTACTTCAACGCAATCCCACATCATCACTCATCACCACCTATATTTCTACAATCATCATTGCTCTCAGATCAATGACCTACATCTATTTAAATCTCTATCTGTAACAGTTACTTGTCTGACTAAGTATGTACGTAATACACTATTGGGCACTATCATACACTTACTTTTTCTACTAATTAGATGGCGTCAATCTCATATAAATGGGATAGGGGTTCTTAAAAATAGTATTTCGTACACGCCCATTTGAAAAAAAATAAAGATTTGAGGCATCATGGTGGAATCTGGCTCGTCAGAATAAAGAAAGTGAAAATATGGACATTTTTCCACTAATTTGGTGATTTTGATCAATTTTTTGTGTTCGGCTCAACACCTATAATGTCCAGTTAAAACACATTCCTGCGTGGATTTTTACTGATAAACGTCAATCAAATGCACACACAAAACATGTAAACTTCACAGTTGCTAGTGACACCAAAGCTTTAGAAATCACCTAATGTTGCCGCATTTTCCCGCCAAGTTTCCCCCTGTCACCAGGAGACCCCGCCCCTTTTGCCCACAAACGTCTCCACTCTTATATTCAAGACAGGCGGGCAATGTTTCAACCAAAGGCCAGGCAAGTGAACAGGCCTAAGATGACACCAATAACTACCCCCACATGCCCCAAAAGTAACCAACGCCAGAGTCCACTTTGTCGTAATACATTATCTGTCACGACGTGGAGGAATCATGCGCTCATCAATGTTGATTCATAACAATATGGAGTTATTGGTATCATCTTAAAGCCTGTCCATTTGCTTTGCTTTTGATGAAAAACATCCATTTATAATCTTGCATACAAGTCAAGAGACTGGTAATTGAAGGAGGTGGGGTTCACCTGGTTTCAGAGATAAAATTAGCGAGAAAAATGCCGCCGAAGTTGAGTTACTTTCTTGGATTGAGATTCTGTAAAAAGTAAAAATTTGCATAATGTATGCCTTAAATTAACGTTTTACAGTACAAATCCATACAGTAATGTGTTCTTTAATGGCTTGAAAGGTGTTGAGCAAAAAAACAAAAATAGGATTCAAATTCACAACCCTGCGGGAAAATGCCAGTTTCTAGACTTTCATTATTTTAGCGAGCGCCTGATTTCATCGCACGGCCTCACAAAATGTCTTTTTAAAAATAACTTTTGATTGTCGAAGAGTTGAGCTTTTACGACTGGTTTATAGCATCAACAGGAAAAGATAGACCGCTCACTCAAACACAGCGGCTTTCTTCCCATGTCCCGATAGTTTTTCTAATTCTCCAAAGTATCCCACTTTGATCTAATCTTAGGGAACTCTGCAGCTCCTTAAAGAAAACGTTTGTTTTTCCCTGGGTTATCTCCCGTAGACTTTACCACGTTTTAGGTAGTTTCAACAACGGGGG